TTAAAATTATTTTAAAAAAATAAAATAAAAAAAATTGTATATTTTTATATAAGAAATTTTAAATGTATGGAAATTATCCATAAACATTAATATTATGATTTCTTCATATTTAAATAATTAAAATACCAATATTCCTGCATCTCCAAATAGAACAATTTCTATTTAAATTCTGAAACTCTGAAAAATTATCCAATTTCTATGCAAACGGCGCCAATAGACATTTGGTTAAATTTAATGAGAAACTTCAGCAGCTTCTATAGCTTCTCTAGCATCGCACAGGCTGGCGCGGGCAATGGAAATCGGCAGATAAATCAACAACTACGTATGAACTGGCGAACAACGAATGTCAAGCATTAGGCGATTCATTATAAAGCCATAAAAAAAAACGATCCAGTGGTTAGTTTTCGACTGCCTCTGTGGCACCATTTGGCTTGGGGCGTGCGCGCTTAATGATATGCTTATGGCCAAAACGAAATCAATCAAAGCAGGCCGTGCGGGGCGCTAACGGGCGCTCGATTTGACAACAACTATGAATCGAGAAATACCAAAAATGAATTATCGACGGGTTAGTTTAGTCTAGGCAAATGGGTGCTAAAGGCCATGCCGGCCTGATGCTATCCCATCAATCGCTTTTCCATATATGCTTGTGTGTGTGTGTGTGTATTCTGTAGATACATTTTGGCCAAAAGTATGTGAATCTGAAATCGCAAATCTGGGAAATGATATCATCAGCAGCGGCAGCGCTCGCTTAATTCGAAATACTTTTTCAAGCCGATAAATCTTTGACACGCCGTGTTATTTCGTATTTTTTCTCCTTCTCTCTCTCTCTCTCTCTCTCTCCCTCTCTCTCTTTCTCTTTCGGTTTGGCCAGCCGAAAATGAAGATACTTTTTGTTTTTGTTGTGCTATGTCTTTCGCTTATCGTTGCAACACAATCTTAGTATACTGTGGCAAGAACTTCTTTGCTAGAGCATTAAATAAGGTTCTGGCCAAATTAACGGTAGTCACGTTTAAGCGCCCAGACACAAACAACAACAACAACAGCAACAGAAACGTAGCGAAATGAAGAAGCGGCAGGGGAAGAAGTAGAACAAAAGGCATGCCTTGGCTAACTTCAAATTCAATATGGCAAAAAGAGCAAGCGGTTGGGGTTGTTCGGTGCTCAGTGTTCGTGGCCCCCAAGTTCGAAAAGAAATTGTGCGGGTAATTTTCTCGAAAGGGAAGACCAAGTGGGAAAGTGGAAGCGCCCTGTATAAGAGGCATTCGAAACTTAATTTAGCACATTAAAAACTATTGTTTGGTTGGAGCGTATGGACCGAGTGAACCGAGTGGCTCGAATGGACCTCGTAGTTCTCTTTTTTGTGTGTGGGTATTTTGGATAGAAACGTGCAGCAGCCATTGGATTTAATGAGCAAATGCGTTGCGACTGAATTCTTGAAATTGGGGGCATTTGGTGGGCGGCATACTAAGTTGGCCAGTTGGCAGATAAATATATATGTATATATATATACGTTATTTGGTAAACTTACAAATTAATTAAATTGCGTGCTAAATAATAGAAATGCGATAATAAAGATACTTGGAATTGTTAGCCGCAGAGATAATCGGTATTATACAAAAAAATTAAAAAATAAAATAATAGGGAATCAAACA